AAAAAAAAAAAAAATAATAATAATAATAATAATAATAATAATAATAATAATAACAATAATAATAATAATTGAATCACATCATAAGCGTATCACCATATGAGCAAAATGAAGATCATTGGATAGTCTTTAAGAAGTGTCATGTCATTACCCGGTTCAAGGAATTTTAGGTTATATATCATAGGTAACTTGTAGACCCTCGTGAAATGTAATTAATTATATTCCAATTAATCCAATGGTTTAGAAAACCAGACGAACCGGCCGGTCCGACCAGTTGAACCGGGAACCGGTTAGTGCACCGGTTCGATTCTCTAGGACAAACTGGCTGTCAGTAAAACAGGTCAATAGCCGGTTGAACCGGTCAAAATCGGATAAAACCGGTCAAAACCGATTGTTTCAATCGGTCTGATTTTTTTTTTCGTATGCTAAGCAAAGAAATTCTAACAAATTTATAAATCAACTCACATGTTATATTAACCGATGTGGGACAAAGCGTGGGAGGAAATTACTTTTTTCATATTTATTTCTTATTATTTTATTGCTTAATATCGGAGTGGGGGGAAATTTTTATTTTTCTATATTTTTGTCCTATTATTTTATTGCTTAACTATATATGGTTGGACCAATCTTTTAAAATATAAGTCAACTATATTTAATATTTATAAAATATTACATATTTTAAAATATCAATAAATTATATAACTTAAAAATTAAGTTAACTATATTTATGAAATATTATATATAATAATAAAAATATCAATAAATTAAATAATGGTGCAACCGATTTAAACACTGGTCAAATCATTGAACCAGTAGCTTGACAGATTCGATGACCGATCTGGTACATTTTAATTTTATCCTTAGTATACCGCCAATTTTGATAATTCAACATGCAAAACAATATTTATAATCATAAATACAACGTAATCTAATTTAATCATTGTGCATTAATTATTTACTTCCGTGCTTAAATTGGATTAAGTTGTATTTATAAGCATTGTGCATTAGTTATTCAATTCACAACGCTTAAATTAGATTAAGTTATATTTATATAATATAATATTTGAGTTGTCATTAGATTATATTTCTTTCCAAAAGAGATTACGGATAGCTCGCCTAGATAGCTCACGTACATGTAGGTCTAACATGGATAGCTCGTAGGTTGAAGGACCTAAAGAGCTCGGATATAAGAGAGGCCTCATGGCCTGTAGGTCGCCGAGGTCGAGATTGGGGTTACGGCCTTGGTAAAACTTATGGCAGGTAGGTAAGGAGGTCGGGTTGGTGATCTCAAGGCCTATGAGTCGTGCAATAAGAATGGAGAGAATCATTCATTCATGGAAAGTGTATGTTGCTAAGGACTCTGAGATTCAAGAGACATAGCAAATTATGAAAGTAGATACGGGATGATCTATTTCCTAACTAAGACTCGCCTGGTCATCATGTTATCCTATGTATATAAGGGTTACCAGGCTCTCTACTTTTACACAACACACATACACGCCTGAAAACCTACATACATACTCGATTTCATCATGTGCAAACACTAATTTGAGCTTCAGAGGCTTTTCTGTTGGTACCCTTCTCGGCATATTGCAAGTCATTAGAGCTTCGAGCTAGTGCATGTTCGTGGGATCGCGGTTCAACCGGTTCAAGAAAGTTTGCGTATCAAATTGGCATCGTATGTGGAAATCTCTAGTCATTTCTCGACATAAGGGACTGATCGACTTTTCTCATAATAAATCTGAAGAAGCTTGAAGATCATGACAGGCTATAACTAAAAGAAGAATTTATCCAAATAGTTGGATGAAGCGTGGACAAAGAGAGCGTTTGGGATAAGTCATCCCTGGGCTGGCCGCAGTCTTCCGGCGCGCTTGTCACACCACATGATACGTTGTTGTCGCCTTACACAGCATCAACCCCATTGTCGAATACGTCAGAGAGACCTATAGTGGGGCAGGGACCACTCATCAACCAACAAGAAAAAAGAGGCCAGGATGTTCTGGATTAAACAGTGGCCCAGGACAATGAAGGACACCAACATGAAGGTCCGAGGGCTAACCGACCTCACGAAAGAGTAGAAGGGCAACTTGTGGATCCGAGGGGGTAGGAGGTCCCAGAGGAGACCAAGTTATCCAGCTCACCAAGGCAGAGTTAGACAGAATCCTAGCTGAGGCCATGGCCCGAGCTCGGGCACTTAATCAACCAGATCTGATGAATACCATAGCCCAGAGGCGGCAGTGCATAGATTGAACATTGACCCGACCGTGAAGCCGATTAAGCATAAAAGAAAAATTTTGGTGCAGAGCTCGACCTAATGATCGAAGATGAGGTAGAGAAGCTATTGAAGGCAGGTCACATAGGATCTATCCAATTCTCAGAGTGGTTGTTGAACTCTGTTACGGTCAAGAAGGGTGAAGGCAAGTGGAGAATGTATTTCAGAGACCTAAATAAGGCCTATCCTAAGGACCACTACCCGCTGCCCATAATATATCATCTTGTGGATACTACAGCTGAGTGCGAGCTTGTCAGCATGATGGATGTTTCTCAAGTTTACCACCAGATACCCTTGGTGGTCGAGGACCAGAAAAGGTGAGTTTTGTGACATCCAAGGGTACTTACTGTTATGTGGAAATGCCCTTTGAACTCAAGAATGCCAGAACGACCTACCAGCAGTTGGTGGACAAGATGTTCAAGGACCAGGTCGGCCGGAACATGAAGGTTTATGTAGATCATATGATCTTAAAGAGTACATAAGCAGGAAATCATGTCACTGACTTGAGAGAAACTTTCAATATGCTAAGGAACTACACATGAAGCTCAACCAGACAAAATGCAAGTCCGCGATCAGGTCAGACAAGTTTCTGGGTTACTCAGTAAGATAAAGAAAAATCGAGGTCAACCTAGAGAAGGTGAAGGTTGTGCTCGAGATGCAGGCGCCAAGAAACGTGAACGAGGTCCAGTCCTCACCTGGTCGGCCTAAGCAGGTTCATAGCTTAGTCCGCAGAGAAGAGCTTTCTATTTTTTCGGGCTTTGAGAAAGAGATCTCACTTCGAGTGGAAACCCCAAGCACAACATGCATTCGACAGACTTAAGGAGTTCTTGGCTGAGCTACCATTACTCACAAAGCATGAACCTAGAATGACCTTGTCTTGTATTTGTCCATAGGCAGTGTGGCTATCAACTCGATTTTGTTGAAGGACGGAGAAGACCTGCAGAAGTTGATATATTATACGGATGAGAGGTATTCGAAAGTCGAGAATGCTGCCATAGAACTTATCTCAATGACACGCAAGTTGCGACCTCACTTTCTTGCGCCTAAGGTCGTGGTCCATACTAATTACACATTGAAAGACACCTTAGGCCGACATTCGAACTCAGGGAGGATGGTCAAGTAGGTTGTTTAGTTTGGAGAGTATAATGTGGACTTTGAAGTCAGGAAAACTATCAAGGCTCGTGCTTTAGCAGACTTTATTCTGGAGTGCACCGCCGAGAAGGAGGTCGGTCAGTGGCTAGTCTATGTAGATAGCTCCTCAGGAGGAGGAGCAGGTTTGGGCATTATGGTCGTCATGCTAGAGCAAGACAATCTCGAGTTCACTATTAAGCTATCCTATAGAGCTTTGAACAATGAGACGGAATACTAGATCCTCATCAAGCATAGCAATTGAGGGAGCTCAACGATAGTCACCCATTCAGGTAAAAGTGTATTTATTATAAAAGTCCGTCGATTATTTTTGGGGTTCGCTGATATTTCGTCTAGCGCTTCACCGAATATACTACTGTAAGTACTGTTGGCGATTCGCTTTTGGTAATTTCGCTCTCACCTATTTTAAATCTTTAGGATCGAAATCTTCTTATGTAGTTGAAGATTTATAGCGATGGGTCTTCTGCAGTCCGTCTAACCATTAGGTTAATATACTTTAGTTATATATATGTATACTTTCATTTGAAAAAGTTATACTTAAAAAAATTATTAAGTAGAAGTATAACATATGATGATACAAATATGATTTTTATTAATTAATATAGTAACGAGTCAATTCGAATATTTAAAAAGTTAGGATGTCTGATACAAAAATTTGTTTTATTATAGATATTTGTCAATATAGATTATAGTTCCATGAACACTCATTGTAATTTGCATAAAGAAAATATATATCTCTCACTTTGAATGATACTAGTACGTACCCCGTGCAATGCACGGGACATAAATATTAAATGAATTATTTTCAAACGAATCTGTTCGTTTAAGTCTAAAAATCAATACAGTTATCATATATTTTTTACTTGTATATTAGGGCTATCTTGTAAAATGATTAATATATTATCTATACATATTTAATTCTTTTTTTATCGGTTATACATATTTATTTCTTAATTTGAAATAAAAAAAAAAATGTTTGACCAGTGAGTATTAAATCAGCACTAATTAATTTATTAAGCAAGTAAAGACGCAAAGCAAGACAATTTAATTATCCAGCAATTTAGGGTAATATATAGTTATTTCATTTATTAAACATGATTTTTTAAAAATAAAACAACATCAACCCCAAATAATAGGCAACATTCATGGTTTTGTTGAAAACCAAAATAACAAAATCCTTAATTAATGGGTAGCATTTATTATGGTTTTTTTATTAAAAAAAAGTTACTAAGAATGGAATGTAATTAATGCAAAATGATTTTGACTCAAATTTGACCTGTTATTTTTGAAAAATGGTAAATCTTTTTATATATATATATACATTTGTTTTTAGGAAAATGTTACATTATCAACCTAGTGCGCAACTAAGTTAATAACACAAGTGAAAACATCCACTTGTGTATTTTTTATTTTTTTTGAATATTTTCACTTGTGTTGTCGACATTAGGGTATACTAAATTGGTAGTGCAACATTTTTCTTGTTTAAGTTGTTACAAAATCCCGTAAATTAAACTAATTGATGTCAATTATAATTGTACGCAACACCAATCAGGTGCGTAATTTTAATTGATTATCGTATTAACTAATCGAGAGTGGCTTGCCTTGAGGTGATTAAATCTCGACCCGCAAGCGCGTGCGGCCACATGGTGGGCTAGGTTCCCACCGGCACTGTCCCCCGCCAGGAAGCAACGCGACACGTCAGCAATCGGCGGCAGGACATCGGCCCGGTCGTCGAGGAACCTCAGGACATCGAAGCCGTCATCGTACTGGGCCGGGAACCGGTGCTCCGGTGCCAGGCGGTAGTTGACGGAGACGACCACGGCGGGGACCTCCCGCGCGAATCGGCGGCAGACGTGGTCATAGCCCTTGAAATCGGGGGCCAGGTAGACGAATCCGCCGCCGTGGAAGAAGACGACGACGGGTAGCCGGTTCTGGCCGGATCCGGACCCGGATTTATCGGGCGGGCCGGCGGGGGTGAAGAGGCGGAACCAGAGTTTGCGGGAGGGGTCGACGGCAACGTCGGAGGTGGTGACGCCGTGGCGGGGCTTGGGATTGGGGGGAACCTTGAAGCCGGCGGAGTCGATCAGCCGGAACGCGCGGCGGTTGACGGTGCCGTTGGGGCGGCTGGAGATGTCGGTGATGGCGTTGAGCACGAAGATGGAGCAGCGGGTTTTCCAGGGGAGGGCGGGGCGCTTCTGGGTCGGGCTCGGGCCGGGCATTTTGGGTTTTCTTTTTCCTTTAATCTTCTTCAAGATCTTGTTTTGGGTTTTGATGTTGGGCAATGAATATCGTATTGAAAATTTTTCAATACCTTGTTCAAAATTTTTCAATACCTTTATGGTATCTACCAAAAAATAATTTGAAATTTTGTTAAAAAGATAGTATAAAAGAGCTGTTGGAAAAAAAATTTGAAATATACAAAGATAGAAGTGCAGAACTGAAATATGCGGGCTTGGTTGAGATTAATGGATACCAGATTGAATTAATGTGATTGGAAATAGTTGTACCAAAAAAAAAAAAAATGTGATTGGAAATAAAAAGTACAATAACAAAAAACCAATCACTTCTCAGCCACTCAAAATCTAAATCAAATTTAACTAACTGCAATGCTTTTAATATTGTTTTACCTAAAATAAAATTTAATTATATTATTTTAAATATTACTTTAATACAAAACTCGAAATCTCTCTCGGACCTAACTCAACTAATTTTTTCAAAATTAAATGTGATTAAAAAACAATTAAAACCAAAATATCCATACATATCTATATTCATCCACACTCTAAATTTAACAAGCTCATTGGATCACTTGATGGTCTCTTTGTGTGTATTTTATTTGATATTTTTAAATTTAAGACTTTTTAATATTTTCAGATTTAGAGGAATCTACGAAATCTTAATTTTGGAGGTGAGATTGTGAGTGAAATTTGGTATATAATTTTTTTTTGAAATCTCGGTAAATTTTTTAACATCCTAATAAAAATAAAAATAAAAAGTTAAGGGTATGCCTGGTTGCAAATTTATCGGCTTTTGAGTTGATTTATTTTATTAACCAAGGTAATTCTTTTTTTTTAAAAAAAAAAATTGACTTGATTAGTTTTAGTGAAATTTTGAGTTTGTATTAAAATAATATTAAAAATAAAAATAATTAAAATTAGTTTGATGTAAAAGTATGATAAAAATAATTGAAAGTGATTGTGAGTTAAAATTATGTTAATTAATGAATATGAATTAAAATTAATGTGATGTGTAAGATTAATTAATTAATATTATATAATTATATCGATAATATTGGTATTAGTGAAATTGAGTTAAAGTTAAATCTTGAGTTGAGATTTTTTTTTTTTTGGTTAATTTGTAAACAATCACCCCCTTGTTGTTATGTGATTGTTAACAACGAGGTAATTTTATGATTAAGTGAATAATTTGGAGGGATTTGAACGTAAAACATGTAGGATTGAGTCAACAATGGCCCCGGTCCGAGGTGAACCGAGGTGAAGAGCCGTGATGGGCTTTTACGCGTTGCTTAATAACGTGTTTACAGTTCGGAAGTTCGTGGAAAAATCGAGAGACCCTTACAATTGTCATGGGTCTGCTATTTATAGTAGTTTAGGTAGAGGCATCGGGATCCGCGTACTACTTTTTGAATAAAGTGGCTTTTTATGGGCGGTTCGAGGCAGGGGGCCCCATGCAAATGATGACAGATCTTGTGGCGTAGGAGAGCTTCTCGTAGATGCCTTGTCACCTGCTTAAGGAGGTGACGACCTCGGTTTATGTTGTCCTCGGTGGGTGTTGACCTCGGTAATCGTCGGTCACTTCGGTCTTTGGTGGTTCAGACCGGTTCTTTGGTGTAGATCGGTGCGGTTATGATTCACGTCGGTTTAACGGTTAATTGCGCTTAATAAGATACTCAAAACCTCTTAACAGCGTCTTGCCGAGTCGGATGATAACAGAGAGGCCCCCAACATCGATGGGCATACGGAGTGATGGTCGTTGATGTTGCAACATACCAGGTACTTAGAGACCCTGGATCGGCAAGAAGTCGGTGGTACGATGTGGTCTACGATGTTTGGTGGATCATCTTTGGTCGGTCTACCGACGTAACCGAAGTGGATCATTTGTCCGAAGTGCAGACTGTATGCCGACGTGGAGACACTTGGTGAATTTTGGGTAATCTTCAGGCAGTTAATGACAGAAGTGATGAACGGTCGTAACGGTCAACGAGTAAATGTGCAGGCCGAACGGTCGCGCCGTAATGGTCTTAAAGGAGGTAACGGTCGACTTTAATAGGCAGCCACGTATACCAGTAGGTGTCTCATCATATGAAAGGGCGGCGTCGGTTAGGATTAGGGGTCGCGTCGGTTCGACGCACCCCTAGTGGCGATATCCAACGGTCACAATCTGAGGCTTATAAATAGGGTTTGGCAATGTTTGATCGGGTTTTCTTCACCTGTGTTTTCATTCTCGAATTTTCTTATCGCTTTATTGCTTGAGTTCATCTGATTCTGCAGAATTTTCCTTGCTTGCTGTGTGTGAGAGATATTGGGTAAGCTTTTTTCTTCAATTTCTTTTGTTAATTCTCTTGTAATTCTTTCAACTGTACGATGGCGTCGAAAGGAAAGGGAAAGGCGGTGGCGAGTTCATCGAGCACGGAGTCGGTTCCGCTGGACGTGTATCACGATTCGGAGTTGGTCGAGTTGGCCTTCGAATATCACCGGTGGGACCCGTCGTTGGTAAGGCATTTGAATATACAGTTGAACGACGAGGATGGTGATGTGGTGGTGGAACATAACGCAACCGACCTCGCGGTGCCGCATTGGAGAAGACCGGTGAGGAGGTGGCCCGATCCGGCGATCGACTTCATTGGTGAGCCGAGCATTCTTACCGATGCTGACGTCGTCATGTTGAGGGAACAAATTCGAATTCCCCCCTCGGTGAAAATCTTTGCTCCTTATCCCGGAGAGAGAATAACAAGTCCCCCTCCGGGTTGTGTGGGCGTATTTGTGGAGAGTCTGAGGTCGGGATTAAGGTTCCCGTTGCCGAATTTGATCACCGAATACCTCCGGAGTTGGGAGTTGCCGTTGTGCCAAATCACACCGAATAGATGGAAGAAGATAATCGGGCTAATGGTGTTGCTGCATGAGAGGGGTGAGGGACTCCCGTCATGCGAAGAGATGAGGAGTATTTTTGCTTTTAAACAAAGCCCGAAGAGGAGGGTGGCCGAATCGTCTTGTTGCTTCTTCGCCGGGGCGAAGCCGCAACATGGCGTCAAAGTTGGGGAAATCGTTACTGAGATTCCGGAGAGCCTCCACGGTTTTCAGGAGGAATGGGTTTGGATAGGCGGAGAATGGCAGTCGGTGGACTTCTTCCATGAGCGCCGAATTGATGGGATGACCATACCCATGTTAATTCATTCTGGGGCTAGTGAGTTTACTTTTCTGTTTTGTCAATTCGGATACGCTTATCTGATTCTTGTATTGTTCTGTGTACTAACAGGTCGGAACTTTTACTCTGTTGTAGAAAAGGAGGCAAAGCAGAAAGAACCGAAGTTAAGCCCGGAGTTCGGTGGGAAGTTAATAACTTTGGCTGGTTTGGATAAAGCAGAGAGGGATTATCGCAAGCTGGTGGTTGACTCGAAACTTGAAGCGGCTGGTTTGTCCTTGGGAGTTACGACATCGAAATTTGACCCCGGTAAGAGAAGTGTAGCCAGTAAAAATGTCGAATTTCCTTGTACATCTGACATAACTGTTTATAACTCTTGTCTTTTGTTGATATGCAGTATATTATCCTCTCCTCGGTTTCTTGGGCTACAGCTCGGTCAAAGAAGCCAAAGAGTTCAGGCGTAAGTTTCCGAATAAAGACCTGCAATCTAAAGTCGGTAAAAGCCGTGATTTGAGGTTAAACGACGCCATGAGGAGGGATCTTGTTCGTGCACTGGTGAAGAAGACAGCTGGTCAGAGGAATATTGGGAAAAAACCGACCGAGATGGGGTCGACTGCCACTTCGGCTGCCATGCCGGAGAGTCCGAAGTCTGTGCCCGAGGTGGCGACTACCGAAGTGTTGTCGGTAGTGGAAGCTGTGGCGATCAATCAGGCTGATCCGGAGCCGATTATTGCTGGGACTGAAATAGTTTCCACTGAGGTTGCCCACACCGAGGTGCCGCCAGCGTCCCCGAAGTCACTTGAATTGGAGCAACCAGAGAGGAGAAAGAAGAGAAAGCTAGTGAAGATGGCGGACGTCGGTGCTTCGTCCGAGGTGGAGAAAAGGTCCAAGAAGAAGCGCGACTCCGGCCGTAAGGTGACTGAAAAAGGTACCGATGATTTGCCCTTATTTGAGAAATCCTTTTTGACAATTGATGAAGAACGGGCTGCGAAAGTGAAGGTGCCCGAGGGTGTGGTGGAAGATTGGTTTTCCACTTTCTTGTCAGTGAAATCTCCCCATATGTCGTCGAGGATCGAAATGCCGGAAAATGCGAAGGATGCTGCTCGGGTCCCATTGATGGTTTGGGACCCCAAGTCCGAGGTAGGAGTCTCTTCCCTGTCCAGTGTTGACAGGCTGAATTACGCCAAGGCATGTGTTGGCCGAGCCTTGGTTAGTTTAGTGGCGGCCGAGGATGACCATCGCCGAGTTACGTCGCAGCTGGAAGGGAAGAAGGACATCATAGCTACTCGCGATGCGGTGATCGTTCAGTTAAAGGAGGAATCCACAAAAATGGAGGCCGATTTGAAGGGCCAGATTGCGGAGAAGACTGCCGAATTGGAGAAGGCAAAAATGGAGACGTCGGCGTTGTCCGAGGAGAAGAAGTCCTTCGAGGCCGAGGTGGCCGACCTCAGAGCTCGTCTTGCCGTGGTGGAGCAGCATTTCAAGATTTCTGAAGCTAAACTGGTCGAAACTGAGCGGGCCTTATCAGAGGAAAAAGCCAATCATGAAGCAGCTCGGAAAGAATGTGCCGAGACTCATGAACTTGTGGGCAGGCAGCACGACGCTCATCAGGCCGATATAGCCAAGCTGGAGAAGGAGAAGTCTGCTTATGGTGAATTTATGTATGAGAATGGATTTCAGGCCGGGAAAGATTCGGTGGTTATGGAGCCGAAGTCCGGAGATAACGCCGAGGTGGATGCTGATGTGGTCGGCGAGGAGGATGAAGCTGGTGGTCCCGACCTCGAGATTGAGATGAACACATGTCTGAACTTAAGGTGGATCATCGAACGCTATGATG